GAGAGACGTATTGTTGAGTCGAGCACGTGAGACGTTCGTTGTGAATTATAGCGTTTGTTATAGCGCGACTGTGGAAATTAAGTGTATTGCAAAGTTGTATTTAGAAAGAATAAACCAGTTTTATTTAAGAAAGGACTTGTATCGCTAAAGTTTCTTCGGAAAGAAATTATACGGAAAATTAACTAACGAACGGAGGCGTAACAGTATGTTAGCAACATGCTTCTTAAATTAAGGAACCAAACCACACCTTCTGCTTACAGTTTGTAGATGATGTTGCTATCAAAACCCGACAACGGCAACATATAACATACAACCACTACTGAATGAAATAGAACATTACTGTAATAAATGGAGAATCAAAATAAACACACAAAAAATACAAGTCATTCTGTTCACCAAACCAACCAAACAACCAAATTAATACTACAGTTATATCTAGACGGAACTCTCTTACATATAGCAACATTAATCAAAATTAACCTGGATGAAACATAAACAGCATTAAAACTAGAATCTGATAAAGAGCGTGTTGTCTTAGGAGCCTGACGGGCAATAATCAAGGAGCCTCACAAGAAAACATTTTTAAAATATATATAAAATGCTCATAAGACCAGTTACTCAATAGACCTGCATAGCATGGATTAATGTCTTTAAAAAGACGCATCAATAAACTACAGCAAACACAAAATTATATATTTACGAAAACATACTGAGTCCCACGCTCAACAAACTTAACATTTCCTCATGACTACTCAAACATGCCGTCTCTGTTGGATAGACTTCTACAAGAAAAAACATAAATCAAAATGAACTGACGAGCAAGATCATACATGATAAGCCTAGTCCTAAGTCCCTCTCCCCACTGAGCATCATTAGCAAGATACTGTTACGACAGCGGAATTCACGTGACGCTGGTAACACGTAATGAGTATCTAGAAGGTTCGGGGAACATCACGAATAATCCAGTATTTACTAGACGCCCTCTATTCCTGTATATATTTGTTTGTTTGGAATTAAGCACAAAGCTAAACAATGGGCTATCTGTGCTCTGCCCACCACGGGTATCGATACCCGGTTTCTAGCATTGTAAGTCCGCAGACATACCGCTGTGCCACTGGGGGGCAATCCTGTATATAAGCGCGCCAGATAAAGCGAGACAGTTTAATCGGAATGGAATTGCAGACAGAAAAGATAGAGATGGACAATTGAGTCAAGCGCGGTAGTGACAGTAAGTAAAGTGCGTGAATCG